AGAGGAATTCAAATTTTGCACTACTGAGCATATATGCAATGCATCATGGGAGAGAAAAAATATTTTTTTGCACTATTGAGCATGTTACTGAGCATAATGTACAATGCATTGTGGGAGACGTTTCCATTGAAATAATAGAAATAATAAATATCAGCTTGTTTGAAATACATGTATTGTTCCAAATTCAAGATTTTTATCAATAACAAAATCTCATGTTACCAAGCAAAATTGTGAAAAAAAACACATCACCATAGAAACCAGTACAACAGCAAAGATAAAACTTTGCTATTTTCAAAATATTTTTTTTGTTTCTTAAAAAAGTCTGCTGTGCTTTTGAAAAAAAAATGTGATGTAAAATGAGATGTAATCTTCAGTTTAGTTTGATCCTTTTTAATACAAACTTTGCATCTTAGTTTGAGATAAAAATCCTCATCATTACAGACTGCTTTAAATATTAAACTATTTTGTCTACATGAGCAAACTAGCCTCTAAAATTCAAAATTAATCTCCTGAGAACTTCTTTTATATTCCTAGAACAAACACACACATATCACAGTAATACAGGATTATTATTTCAGTTCTTAACTTTTTCAGTCTCTATTGGTCATGAATTGATCCTAAATGCCTGTTCATCAGATTTAAATTCAGTGTTTTTTTAGTGTGAACAATCTGAAATTAGTTTATTAAAAAACTCATGAATTTAAAATAATTGATGCTGTTAAAAATGTCTCATTTTTTAGTGAAACGGCCAGAGAATAGTGAACGAAAACACACTACACAATACAATATGCACACTCCCTTTTGCTGTTGAAAATTATCTCACAGCGTCAGAAATGTAGTAGAAATTTTTGAAAGACACCGAATATGCAAAGTTTCGGTTTCAACCAACGTTGGCTAAGCTTTGAACATAAGAGAGTGCAGACATGTCCCACATAGGACCTCTATTTGAGATGTGCTCCTAATACAGTAAATATGGTAAATCAAAAATATTTATTCAATTAGTTAAATTTGCACTATTCTATAGTTATGTTCAGGCTACATCAATTCAAGAAGTTAATCATGTATGTTTGCATATCGGCTAGACCAAATTGCATACATGCAGAAGATGAAACACACAAACTTCAGTCATTTTAACTATGATTACTCAGTACAGTAGCCTGTTAGTTCTATGGTTATAAAACAAGAGTCTCTTGTCAGTGCATTTTCTTCTCAAGAATAATGTTTTTAGACTTGCTTGTGTTGATTGTCACGTCAGAAATGAACTATGAATACAAAGGTGTTTTTTAGGCACTTTAGCCTGAGCTAAGTGGTTGTGTACACTTCATTAGCCCATGCTAAGGATTTGGATTGGGTCTTAAAAATAGGACAGATGTTGCTCGTACTTGCCTCTTAGCCTGTGCTACATTGTAAGAAGCTATATGTGAGACAAATTTTTACCAGGACATTAAGTGAAAGCAATAATTCAGTATGTCAAATATTTGTTTTTTCTCCAGATGCAGAAATAGCGCCAAGATTTGTGCAGCAACCCGAACCACAAGTTGTGAGGAAAAAAAGTAAAGTTCGTTTTTACTGCGTGGCCGAACCTAGTAATGTACAAATACGATGGAAATATAATCGACAATTCATCTCAGCTAGTGATGATGCAGACTATGATATCAGGGGATCACAACTTATTATACGATCATTTCGACATGAGAAAAATATATTTACACATACAGGACACTATCAGTGTATAGTTAATAACTCGGTGGGAGCCATTGCCAGCGTACCAGTACTGCTACAAGCTGCATGTAAGTTTATTTATGTACTGATATCAGATCAATGTTCGCTAGTGCCGAATATACTGATGACATTTGACCAAGATGCATTGTATTATGACCATCATGCATTGTAATATGACCATGGTGCTTTGCAAAATAACCATGATGCATTGTAATATGACCGTGATGCATTGTACAATGACAAATGAGCATGTTCTATGTAATGTTACCACGTTGTACTACAGATGTTTTATCTGAAATTTAGTTCCTGTGTGAATGGTTCCATAAAATTAATAACATTTGGTCAGGTTGAACATTGTGGTTCATTATTTACATCTCTGTTTCAGACATCAAACCTTTCACAGAAGAGATGGATCCTATAACATATGCTACAAAGGGTGATACAACAATAATTCATTGTTCACCACCAGAAAGTTTACCACCAGCACGAGTAGAATACAGGTTTCAAGGAGAATGGATAGCATTTGCCACAGGTATGTCCCAAAACTAGTGTGTACCCAGTATGATTATAGAGGGCGCTGTTTGATATTTGTGAAATAAAATCCTGCTTCATTACCACCAGAGGGCTCCCTATTTGACTTATATTGCTAGCTTTTCTGCTACTTCAACAAGCATTTCTGTTTTCAGTCTATATCCTGAAATTTGTTTTGCCTAAAAAAATGCTGAATTCAGTTATTGTGAGTTTTATCATTTATAGCCACTGGAGGGCAGTGTTACATTCTAGATTCAAGAATGGCTTATAAAAGATGGCATAAATACAAAATCTTTCTTTCTTTTCACAGAGAGAATGAAAATTCTACCATCTGGTAATTTACAAATAGCAAATGTTTCTTTACAAGACAAAGGAAACTATAAGTGTTCAGCATATAATACAGTCGCAGAGAAACGACAAACCCCAGTCAATAGTACTAAACTTGTTATCATTGATGGTAAGTGTCAATATTATGACATGATTTCTTTTCTATAAAACACTTAAAGCATAAATGTTCTATAATTCTTGATCTCATAATGAGCTGCTGAATATAAATTTATAAAGATCAATATCATACTGTTTATCTTTAACATATCATTAGCATATCCCATCTCATTAGCATACATTAGAATATCACATGTCATTAGCATATCATTACTATACCCATCTCATTAGCATATCATTAGCATATCCCATGTCATTAGCATATTACATGTCATTAGCATATTACATGTCATCATATTATTACCATTTTTCATATCATTACCATTCATTAGCATAATTATATTGCATACTGGATATCACATAACATAATTTTTTTCTCATTTGAGAATAATCTGCAAGTTTATACATTTGTATACTTAGATGACTCAACTCATGAAGACAGACCAGCACAGATTATATCAACTACCAAAGCCACAGTTCGTGTTGGGGAAAATGCTACTCTGGAGTGTGTGGGAAGCGGCAAACCTTTCCCGACAATGTCCTGGATGAGGCAAAATGATCCGATGCCAACAGAAAGGACCAGTCAGTATTTTGGCAACCTCATTATTCATAATGTGCAGGCTTCTGATGAGGGACCCTATCTATGTGTAGCGACCAATGATATCGGTTTTCCCTACAGGAAACAGGTGCTTTTGAGTGTCATCGGTGAGTTGGCGGCCATTTTGAATATGCTAATTTGTTGACCTCATTTTGACGGTGCAGGTAACCTTTTTTTGATCATGTCGCTTTTGACAGGAAGTTTGCTAAATCATTAATTCATGTAAAAAAAATTATTATCTATTTAAAGTTTGTGAAACATCACATCATCAGCACAAGCTAAAAACAAAATGTTTTATAAGTAGATGTCCTGCCCTCACTTCTCTAGTCATTTCATTTTGAGACAACTAAGGGGTCTCATTCCCAAGAAAACTACAATGTGACCTATAAGGACAAACAAAGTCTCCTAAGCTAGTGTCTATTTTTATGCAAATCCAACATTACCACTTGAATTCATGTTTTGCGGTTAGTTTCTCCTCTATCTCAACATTTTATGGTACATGTATGCATGAAGAAATGGTACCACACAGATTAAGACAGTTTGGAATGCTACTTTTAGTTTCAAAGAATCAATAAAATCTGTTTTCTTCTTAGTTCCTCCAGTTATTACCCGACCACCTGAAGATGTTTCAGCTCGGATTGGAGACACTGTGAGATTTTTGTGTGAAATAAGTGGTGGTAATCCAATCACTGACATCACATGGTTATTTAATTCAAATCCAATCTCAGAAATGAGTCTCAAACATTCTTTACTTGGTAAGTCATTATTTGTATTATGCAAATCACAAATAGATTTTTTATCAAACTTGTTTACGATTTTATTCAGATTAATTACTGCCAACTGATGGAAATTATTGATCTTTCACATATGTATAATTATTCAATTTTCTGTACTGATTAAATCAATCCCATCTTCTTAGTCGGATTGAAATAATTACAATACGTGACTTCCTATATTGATTGAAATAGACTTCTATACTAACTGTAATTATTCCAGTAACATTTTACTCCCTAGACTGCTTAATATTATTCCAGTACCATTTAACCCTCTAGACTGCTTAAAATTATTCCAGGAACATTTTACTCCCTAGATTGTTTGTAAATATTCCAAGAACATTTTATTCCTAGGCTTGTTGGTCGTTATTCCAGGAACATTTTACTCCTTAGATTGGTTGAAATTATGCCAAGAAGTTTTCACTCTCTAGACTGGCAGCAGTTTTTCTAAGAACATTTAACTTCTTACATTGGTTGAAATTATTCCAAGATCATTTTACTTCATTGTTTGATTAAATTATTTCAGGAACATTTTACTTCCTAGATTGGTTGTAATTATTCCAATAACATTTGATTCCATAGTCTGGTTGATATAATTTCTGTGCCACTTTAAGTATTGAGTATTTGCTTCACATCTTTGATGTGGTGATTCATGCACAGTACTCAAAGGATTTAAATTACAATTGTTGTTATATCATGTGTACAGGTGAACAGTTACGAGTTCATGAAATCTCAGAAGCTCAGTTTGGTATGTATCAGTGCATGGTGCAGAACAGAGAGGGAATTGTGCAAGCTTCTGCTAGACTGCAACTCAAGAGTAAGTACAACAAAGTTACTTTTAGAACTCAAATTGTATTCTACGATTTTTTGCTTCTACTGCTCAAAAAAACATACAAAAGTCACTTTTAGAGATTCACAATTCTATTGGCTCATCACTTATAAATTAGGATGAACTTGACATTTGATGATAGTTTGTTTTACAACTTAGTGTCTGTTTGACCGAGTTTGTGTTAAAAAAAAAATTTAAGACTAAGATTGTCTGACATGCCCTTCTCTAAACTGTCTCTTAGATAGGAAAGCAGCTATTGGTAGACTGATCCAAAGTACATCTTTGTGTGCACCTGGCACCCTATTATGCAAATAATTTGCATAATTTGTAACAATTTCTAACTATGTATTCTGTTTCTTAGTCGGTTATCCTGAAATTCTAAAGCCACCTGTGGATATGACAGTATTTGAAGGTGAGCCTGTGTTCATTTCGTGTGGCGTTGAAGGTGACCCCGCTCCTACTGTTGCATGGTTGAAGGACTTTGACATTGGAGTGATGAATACACATCGCACATTTGTATCCGAGGGTAGAATGGGAGGTTTGACAATACTCAATGCTCTGCGCCAAGACGAGGGAGAGTACCAATGTATAGCTGAGAATATTCACAGTCAAGTCAGTGAGTCAGCGTATCTCAAAGTGGAAGGTGAGTGCAACATTCTGGCATTTTTACTGCCTAGCAACCACAACCCATGAAAACAACGTAACAGTCAAAAAC